AATGAAGACCCTACATGTAGTCTCAGGATCATTGCATACATATATAACTGTATATCCTGTGTGAAATACACAGTGACAACGACCACAGAATAAAACCCCCTAGCTTCCCTATTATAAAAAAATTCAACACCGACGGTGTTAGGTTTAATCTGGATATTTTATCTTCTTTTTCCTTTGCTTGCACACAAGACATCCAAGAAAACTATTGCTCCCGTGTGAGTTCCCGGGCTCTATTATAGGGAAAACATGAATAGACCCACTGCCTACCCAAAAGCATGTCGTAAGAGTCGACTTATTGGGAGCTTCCTCCGAAGTCAGAGTGCATCTGCCTGAGAGGCAAGGAACCAGCAGTTTGCATGCAAAGAAGTCAGATCTGTAAAACGGATGCACACGCAACACTCAGGTTTTGGAACAGGACTGCAGTCCAGAAGTGGATGAACTACCAAAACTTTCCGCCAGAGTTTACAGCTGGTGAACGCGAAGAGGAAGAAGAAGAAAACTATTGCAAAGTTTCCTCGACTTGCGACAGTTATGTTATAAATGATATCTTTTAAGTATGGTGGAGCGCTGTTAATTAGTTCCGTATAGTGTTTCTGTGTGTCTCGAATACAGAAGTGTATACTGAAAGTATTTTTTTTTTTTAAATCCCATCAAAACAGCAGTGCAACAATGCAGGCTGCGTGCTCTATCTCTATTAAGTAACGGGGCTGAGTGGTCTCGAGGCATGGCGTCCGCCTCGAATTCTGGAGGTCCCGGGTTCAAGCCCCGATGAACGCTGGGATTTTTTCACGCGGATTTCTAGTAATTTTCCCTGGTCTCTGTGTAGTAAGACCGGGCGCTCGTGTGTATTGTTGCGCACGTATACAAAAAAATCCCTTGGCAGTTGCAAATAGAAAAACAAAGTAGCATAACGGCGTTGCCTATGCAAAATTTAGAGTTAGAAATCAACCCACAAGTATTTCAGGATCCTCGCCAGTGGTACGGAGCTCGTGCACTGCGCTGAGATTCTTCGGACTCAGGCTTGAGTTAAAAGTAGAACGGAGCACTTACAGGTTATTACCCTTATGCCATGATCTTGATCCATTGTATACGCTGAACATCTCTATTAGGTATAGAAGCAGATCTGATACACAACATTCGTTTGCGGAAAACGTCAAATGTAAATAAAGTGGGAATATACAAAATCGACATTATTTTCCATCTTACTGTGAGTTTGGTTTTCAATCCCGTTACTAAAATTTTACTGTATGGTTTATTACTGTTTTTATTGTTATTATTATTATTATTATTGTGGTGGAGACTTCTTCTTCTTCTTTCGTTCGCCTGAAATAAGTTGTCTATATCAGCAATTTTGTCTCTTGTATAAATTTCACTGTTGTTAATTTATTCAGTGGTCCATAGAGTTTACGTTCCATTAGTGTTCTTTCTGGCCAAAAGGTTTGCCTTAATGTGTCAAATTCGGTGCAGTCCTGGAGTACATGCTCTGCTGTCTAGGGCACCTTTCCACAGGGCTGATACACCTATCTTGAATTTTGTGTACATGTGGTTACGTAATCGGTTGTGCACTGTTCTGAGGCGGAGGATAATGACTTGTTCTGATCTGTCCTGTGATGGAGACAGGTGCCGTTTTAACATACGGGCCCGATGACACTTGCCCAGGTACCCCTGGAGCAAAAGGGTCCCGATGCGAATCTGTGTAACTCAAGCAGCGGTTCTCAAACTGTCGGGGTGACGACCCTTTTTCTGGTCGAACGAGACTTTCACAGGGCTGGACTAAGACCATAGGATACCACATATTTATTGAAGTTATGAAGAAAAGATATAAACCGAACGAAAAGTATATCAGCAAGCTTCACAATATAACGAACACAAACAAAATATGAACGTTGCGGTTATAGAGCCTTCATCGGCACAAAAATAAATAAAACAATACCACACAAATACACCAAATCACCTAGCTTAGTATCTCGATGCGGCCAGGTCGATGTCTTGTCAGTTGACGCTGGATTAGAGAGAGGGTCGCGGCAATAGGAAGGTTGAGAGCCACTTGTCTAAACTTACATTTACATTTCTCTGACTGGTTGTCCTAGGGGCTCCAGTGCACTCTTTTTTTTTCCAGAGGCCCCTAATGCTGTCAAGACGGCTCGGGGGGAAGGGGGGAATGGGGGCACACAAACATCTTTTAAGTGCTTAGCGCATCAACGTTTTTAATCCTTCCCTGTGTAGACCAGTTTCGCCATTCTACAGTTCCAGCGTATGGATTGGATGTGTTGCTGACAGCTCCTAGGAAACAAAACATGCCCTGTGTCTACTCCCCGGAAACCACAGGGGCCAGGAATGTCAGATGGCGTAAGTATCTACGTGATTGCAAGCAGAACAGGAGAATCGCCCTCTCTTCAAAGGTACCCCTACAGGGAGGCAAAAAGGCAGAACGAAGTAGCTCATAAAATGGCGCAGATCCAGTCGGTAGCTTTCTACACAGACGAGGCCTTGGTCTCACTCACTCTCTCTCTCTCTCTCTCTTTCTCTCTCTCTCTCTCTCTCTCTCTCTCTCTCTCTATATATATATATATATATATATATATATATATATATATATATATATATATCTTCTGTACCAAGCAGCATCATTTTATAGGCAGGTCAATGGTCGCAAGCTTGTTTAAAATCATTTGGTGACGATCTGTCGGCCTAAAAGCAAAATGGCCAAAAAGACGGCTGGGCCGATCCGTCGTCCTGGTAATACAAACCTTCTTATTTGCTGGCTGGTCTTTATACCAGCCAATCGGAATGCATCTGGCATGTCTTGCATACATGGGATGTTCAATGTGGCTTTCTGTGTTAAGTGTGTTAAGTTCTTTCATTTTACATCGATTTTTTATGGGGGGGGGGGGGTATTTGTGCCCAACAATTTTGAAAAGAACTGCTACATCATAAAAGTCAAAACGTAAAAGGGGGTAGGTAAAGAAGTAGAACCATGTGCTGGATGTGAATGGAGACCTACATGGGCCTTGCTTCCCAAAACACAATTGTTAGGACTTATTTAGGCTTCATTCATCAAAAAATTTACCCAAATTGCCAAATATAGTCATGTCTGTTATAAGATTTAAAATAAATACATGGAAAAGTATGCAAATCATCATAGCTAATTTGAATAAATGTTGAGATGTTACTGGATGTCAGTGTCAATCATAAAGATTGTGTTAGTTCATTCTATTTCCTATAAAAAGATAAATAAATTTATATATATATATGTATGTATATGTAGTTTTGTGTGTGTTAATTAAGCCAATTCTTTTTTAAACTAATTTTCGCGTGTTTTTTTTATTGAATATTTTATTATTATTTTATTCTAATTTATAATGGCTTACTTATTTATCTTCTTAATGATAATTCATTCAATAAAATATGCTGCAAGTTAATGAAACTGTAGTTTAATTTGTGTATAAATTTATTCGATAACAATGGTGAGCACAGACCGACCGTGGACTGGCCTAACAAAACGGGAATTTCCGTAGACATGTTCGGCCCTCCCGCTGAGCTGGCCGTGGGCCAACATCCAGTCGGCAGCCGTTACTTTCCAGGACAATTTCCTGGAGTCTGTTCAGACTGAGTCGATCAGGGAGCCCGATCAGGGAGCCCGCGTTCCTTGTTTCAAATTCCCGCCTCAATGAGGATTCAAGCTTATGAGAACCTGGCCGGCAGGCGAGTATATCCGCCATTGAGCTGTTATATATACTAAACAGACAATGTATCGATCGGAACTCAAACAAGTAGTAAAATATAAGGAAACACTTTACAACATAAAAATCGAAAGCTGCAGTTACCATGCCTGGAATCGAACCTATCACCTTCAAATGATAAGGGCATCTCAGGTAACATAGTTTGTTACGGTTTCGAGTGTGAACTATCAATTACGGCCCGTATTCTTTTGCGGTGTAGGCAGACTGGTCTTTAAGTCTGAAGATTTACGGTCATATGTCCAGTGCAGTGGGCACGCACCGCACGTGTTAGGACTTATATGCTTGCCCCCCCCACCCCCCCACACACACACACAAACTAGTGTACGCACTCCAATCCCACATTTCCACGTCCTCAGGTCACTATGGAAGTTTCCAGTTACGGCTGCTATTGACAATTTAGACGCATTCAATGTAGATTCTAAAAACCCCATTCACACCTTACAAATTGTAGATACTAAAATAGAGGCAATAAACAGAAGAAGTTCTTACATGTCTGGCTTTCTGTATAAAAGCACTCCGTGTATTTCCCAGTTTGGTTTGCGAAGCCCTTACGTGGAGGCAAAAGGGGAGAGGTGGTGGGGGACTCACTAACCAAACCACAGGCATGTCGTACACCTGATTAAGGTTTTGTTGAAATCAGTTGTGTAGGAACGAAAGACGAAGATATCGAAGTCTATTTATAAACTACAATTCAATCTGCCAACCGCCGTGTTAAGGAAGAATGCAAGAAGATGAGAAGTATGGGGAAGAAGAAGAAGAAGCCGAAGCTACCGACGACGACAAGGAGGAGGAAATGGAGGAGGAGAAGAAAAAGGAGTAGGAGGAGCAACAGCATCAGAAGAAGAAGGAGCAGAAGCAGCAGCAGCAAAAAGAAGAAGAAGAAGAAGAAGAAGAAGAAGAAGAAGAAGAAGAAGAAGAAGAAGAAGAAGAAGAAGAAGAAGAAGAAGAAGAAGAAGAAGAAGAAGAAGAAGAAGAAGAAGAAGAAGAAGAAGAAGAAGAAGAAGAAGAAGAAGAAGAAGAAGAAGAAGAAGAAGCAACAGCAGCAGAAGAAAAAGAAGAAGAAGAAGAAGAAGAAGAAGAAGAAGAAGAAGAAGAAGGAGAAGAAGAAGAAGAAGAAGAAGAAGAAGAAGAAGAAGAAGAAGAAGAAGAAGAAGAAGAAGAAGAAGAAGAAGAAGAAGAAGAAGAAGAAGAAGAAGAAGAAGAAAACTAAAAGAAGTCGACAATCAAGAAGTCAACAGATCAACTGTTTTTACTCACGTGTTGTGGGATTCCGAAGTATAATCCGACGCAGACGTGTCCGCCATGACTTTTCGTATGCGTGAAAATCTGGTACTGGTCCTCTGAGAATTGAAAAAAAATCACACTGAACTTTGAAAAGATTCGTTGATTTGATGCACATTTTTTTTTTTTTTTTTTTTTATTTAAATATGCTAAACACTCTTTTAAAAGATACGAATTCTTTTTCCTCTTATCTTATTCTGCATTCCGAGCACTAAGGATTCATTGCAGCCAACACCCGACTCCCTTCTCTTTTCTGATTAGCCTTCTCCCTCTAGTTGTTGACTTCTATGTGTAGGTCCGCTAAAATGCAACCGAATTCGATGCTTAGATACCTTTTTGATAAGGAAATTATGTTTTACAAAGATGATGGTGTCTGCCCCACACTTTCACCTCCGTTGTTGGTTTTTTTTTTTTTTTTTCTGGTCTCTGCCCCTCGACCTGCCTAATTTGGGAAGCCCTGCTGGTAGATACACTATTGCTGGCATTTCTGTCAGGGTCATTGAGAAACACAAGCTTTCTCCGTTCTCTTTTCCCCAAGATCCTTAGAATTGTAGGCATAGGATCATCATTAATCCAGCAATGGATCGCAAATTGATCCTCTGTGGTTTAACGACAATAAATGAACCTGATGATGAGGAGGATAGTTTGTATAGACATTCTCCCCGTGTGGGTTTGCTGATGAGGAGGATAGTTTGTATAGACATTCTCCCCGTGTGGGTTTGCTGATGAGGAGGATAGTTTTGTATAGACATTCTCCCCGTGTGGGTTTGCTGATGAGGAGGATAGTTTGTATAGACATTCTCCCCGTGTGGGTTTGCTGATGAGGAGGATAGTTTGTATAGACATTCTCCCCGTGTGGGTTTGCTGATGAGGAGGATAGTTTGTATAGACATTCTCCCCGTGTGGGTTTGCTGATGAGGAGGATAGTTTGTATAGACATTCTCCCCGTGTGGGTTTGCTGATGAGGAGGATAGTTTGTATAGACATTCTCCCAGTGTGGGTTTGCTGATGAGGAGGATAGTTTGTATAGACATTCTCCCAGTGTGGGTTTGCTGATGAGGAGGATAGTTTGTATAGACATTCTCCCCGTGTGGGTTTGCTGATGAGGATAGTTTTTATAGACATTCTCCCCGTGTGGGTTTGCTGATGAGGAGGATAGTTTGTATAGACATTCTCCCCGTGTGGGTTTGCTGATGAGGAGGATAGTTTGTATAGACATTCTCCCAGTGTGGGTTTGCTGATGAGGAGGATAGTTTGTATAGACATTCTCCCAGTGTGGGTTTGCTGATGAGGAGGATAGTTTGTATAGACATTCTCCCAGTGTGGGTTTGCTGATGAGGAGGATAGTTTGTATAGACATTCTCCCCGTGTGGGTTTGCTGATGAGGAGGATAGTTTGTATAGACATTCTCCCCGCGTGGGTTTGCTGATGAGGAGGATAGTTTGTATAGACATTCTCCCCGTGTGGGTTTGCTGATGAGGAGGATAGTTTGTATAGACATTCTTCCCGTGTGGGTTTGCTGATGAGGAGGATAGTTTGTTTAGACATTCTTCCCGTGTGGGTTTCGGGGTTCAACTTAGCGAGTTTGGGGGAGGGGGGAGGGGTGGTGGTTGAACCACTACCGGCTAACAAGCATGTCGTAACAGGTGAGTAATTGGTGATGTTACCTTTGACATCGGAATATACCTGTCGGGAATGCGAGAAACCAACAGCCTGCACATCAGTAAGCCAGACATGTAATATAGATGTGCATGGAAAAGGTCCAGTTCTGACCCAAACCGTGAAGTCAAAAAAAAAAAACAGAACTTTCCGCTGGAGTTTACAGACGGTTAACACTAGAAGGAAGTATAGACAGACACAACAAATTATTGATAACAAAATTGTTTTACAAAATAAATATTTGATTTAGAAAACAAAAGGCCGTCTCCACAACGGAGTCTGGCTACAAAATACCATTCGCGTCCTTGAGAATAATGTGTGGTAAAGCCTCAATCTCTTCCACGGTGCGATTCTCGTACCATCGTCTGAAAACCATCACAGCGGTGTGTGTGTGTATGTGTGTGTAAGAGTGTGTGTTTTAATAACCCGTATCTCATGGACAGCAAACCCTAGTATACTCAAGGATCATGACACTGTTAAACGCATTCACTAATCTCTAGGCCTGAGGCCGCACCAAAATCCAATAACGGTATCTATTATATTCCTATTAATTTGTTAATTTTTTTAAGCGAAGAACCCTTTTCCACGACTTCAGGGGCATGGGCATATAGGGCTAGACCTATAATTATATAGACCAATCGACACTCGGTAGATGATGTGGTCAACAGCATGCAAGCCGCATTTACCTCCCAGGACTTTATCTGGTACCCATTTAAGGCTGGGTCGACCTCGGAGCCAAGGTCATTTATGAAAAAAGTCCGGTTCCGCCAGGTCCTGAACGCACGCCTTCGAATTCGCAGGCGAGAGTGCAGCCGCTACACCACGGTGACTTCCCTAGCGTTTACTAAGATAAACCTACTTCTTTTGCACTGTTAGTCAGGCCAGTCTATGCTATCAGTGCCAAACATGGACAATGACATAATCTATTGAACGTAAGATTGTGACAACATAGATTAAACGCCTTAGAAGAGCTACAGCAGTTTCAAGGAAAGACAGAATACCAAATCACGAAATCAGACGAATTCTAGAAATAAAGCCAGTCTCACGGTCATCAAAAAACAAATGAAGTGGTTTGAACACCTAACATGAACGTTCTGGTACTACAACGGGTATAGAGCGAGCGGAAGACCTCGGAAAATACGGAGTGATGGCATTAAGAACAGCCTTACAAAAATGAATATCAGTCTTAACAGTGCTTTAGACAGAGCTAATCAACAAACGTTACATCTCCCTCCGACACTTCACTGAGGTACAAGGTGAAAGAGAAGAAGATGAAGAAGTCAGGCAAGCTTACCTTGTTGAGCCTGTTTCTACATCCATTGAACGAAAACGTTTAATAAATCCACTGAATATTTAAAGTATAACTGGTGGTGCCCGGTTAAATTCAGCCTACTGTCTTTAGCGCTAAAGTGATATCCTCTCTAGCGACAGACAACACACTGCCGGGCAAAGTCACCATTCGGGAGAAAAGCGACAACACGGCTGATAAAGACTAATTCAACAACGATGAAAGTTATCTAGTTAACACTTTTTAGCTCCCAAAACATGTACTTCGAGTTGACTTAATCCTTGGTCGTGAAAGTAACCAAAGATGTTCACCGTCTCTTTTGATGCAACACAGAAACTGGTCGTCATCATCAATTTGTTTGGCACATCATGATATTCTCCCAGCTTGTCGTGTCTATATTTTACATTTCTAGACTCTTTTAGATTCTTGTGTTTATGCTAAGTAACTAATGAGGGTAGGTAGTACTGCTGCATCGAAACGCAATCAAATCCTTTGTTATGTTAAACGCGTTGTCTAGTTATTTTTCTTTTCCTCGCCGCGAGGTTATAAAATTAACAAATTTTAGCTGCCGAGAAGAATGTATCGTTGAATGTCTGACATTGATTTAAGCCTTAAAAGTGGATGGAAAGCTTTCGAAACTGACCAGCGGGGAAGAAAACAAGGAAAAATTTAACGACGACACCCGTGATATGACGTAACGATGCGGCCTTTGCGACCGCTGACCTCTGACCTAGCACCTAAGACTGATTTAGATTCGCCTCACTGAGTGCAATGTTTATGACTCACTTGACCAATGGCAACTAGCAACACAAACAACCAATCCAACAATAGAAATATGTAGACACGACTAAACACGAAGGGCCGTGGGAGAAGAGAAGTGGGCACAGAGTCAGATCTGGATGGTTTGACTCCATCTACAGTCGATGTTGCTGGATCAGCAGAATCTTGTATTATCACCGCTGACATTGTTACAGGCAAAGATTGACAGTGACAGATAAAAGTATGGGTTTGAAGCGACAGACAGACAGAAAAATATAGTTCTAGGCCTATATTCCTTATACGTCTAAAGACGTGGAAAAGTGACCATTTTTTCTTGAAACAGGCTGAGAAACGCTGCGTTAAAGTTAAGTTTTAGAAAAAAGGACCCTTTTCCACGCCTCCAGTCATACTGGGCTACATCTATATTTTATAGAACAATCGGCACTCGGTGGGTGATGTGGTCAGCATCACGGCGGCCGTCTTTACTTTCCAGGACTGCACCTGGTACCCGTTCTAAGGCTAGTTCGACCTGGGAGCCAAGAACGTTAAGGTTAACGTGTCTTTAAAAAAAAGAACCCGATTAAACGACTAATTTATTTAACGTTTACAATTTTTAGAAACTATGAAAAAAGAAAGCTTTTAGCTTTAGCAGACGTCAAAGCATATGCCCATGGAACCAGTAACAACAAAGAAAATACCGGGCGTGTATTACATTCAAATAGACGACATACACTGTTACTTGTGCAAATAGCTGGTCAGATTTCTTTAGCGTGGGTAGGTTATTTGCGTATCCTTTACAGGACGTTGCACAACCAACCCCAACAGCCCTTGTCTGTTGTGTGGTTTTTCTAGGCAAATTTACGTCCAGTAGTTTGCCATTGCTGGACAGTCGGCTTTCTTGATACCACTGTCGGAACCAACACAAGGTTATGGCCCGCAGCTGGGATCGAACCCGGCATCCCGGCATCACGAAGCGTTCGCATCGACTTAGCCACAGAGCCGACAGCATGCGTAGACCAAACATAAATGATTAGGAACACTCAATATGCTGACTGGTGCAAATGGATTTCCCCAAACTGGATTCCATTTGGGGATTTCCCCGTGTGGGTTCCGGGGCCCCATTGTGGGGAAAATCAGAACAGACCTTATGCCTCCCCAACAAGCATGTCGTAGGTCAACTAACAGGGAGGTTCCTTAGAGGATGTGTATCTGCCCGAGCGGCACGGAACAAACAGCTGCACACAAATAAGCCAGTAAAACGGATGCACACGCAAAACTCAGGCTTTGGCACAAAGCAGAAGTCCAAGTGAACGAAAAACCAGGATTTTCCGCCGGAGCTTACAGGTGGTGAACAAAGAAGAAGAAGACACCAGGGGTTAGTGGAGGAGAAGGAGAAGACAGACAGACATGCGGACGGGCGGACGGGCGGACGGGCGGACGGACGGACGGACGGACGGACGGACGGACCGACCGACCGACCGACCGACCGACCGACCGACCGACCGACCGACCGACCGACCGACAGACAGACAGACAGACAGACAGACAGACAGACAGACAGACAGACAGACAGACAGACAGACAGACAGACAGACAGACAGACAGACAGACAGACAGACAGACAGACAGACAGACAGAGGGAAAGGAGTCAAGGATGGACACAGCATAAAACAAGTACCAGGAAAATCTTTTTCTTAATATTCGCCTTCACCGGCTGTATTATTAATGTATGATTTGTATATTACTGCAGAAACTATCGATGTGGTGCTTCTTTTAGTTGCTTAAAATGAAATACCAACCTAAACGAGAATTAGAACTTAGCTTCTCATTATTACAATTGACAAATGAACAACGTTGCAGCTAAAAACCCTTCATCAGCATATGACACACAAGGGCAATGGTACAACCTCATACACGAATCCGATTCATCATATTTAGTGTTTAAATTTCAAGAAAGAACAAACAACAGACTGAAGCGTCAGAGCCCCAACCACCTTGCTAGAGAACTGTACAGACAACCATGGACAAGCAAGCCAGAAAAGTCAAATGTAGTCCTAAAGGTACCAGGGATAACTTCAAAAGATGCCCAGACGGAGACACATCAGAGAACCCTGGCTCTTGCTGTGCTTGATGAGAAGTATCCCAACACCACCTGTACCCAGGTTTTCACCGACGGCTCTGCTACAGATGCAGTCAGAAAGGGGAGCTGTGGAATATACATTAAACCCCCTAGCAGTAGAACAGAAACTCTCTCTCTACCAGCAGATGACATCTGCACTAACTTCAGAGTCCAACATCTCATCACTCAAGAACAAAGAGGGCACCAAATTGTTATACTTAGCGACTCATTGTCTGTTCTCCAAGCACTATCAAGCAAAAAACAAGACAAACTAATTGCAGATCTAAGGACAACATTGGCTTACTCTCCAAGGAAGCAAAACTGGTCTTGCAGTGGATACCAACCCACCGTGGTATTCAAGGAAATGAGAGAGCAGATGAGTTGGCAAAAGCTGGGAGTAATCTTCCACAACCTCATCCACCACACAGCTATAAGGAAACCAAAACAGCGCTAAAGCAGTCTTTCAAGCGGGAGTGGAGAAGGCAGAACGGAGATTACAGACCAGAGAGTGACAGCATAAACAAACTCAACAGGAAAGAACAAACATCCATTTTTAGACTTCGGACTGGACACTGTGGTCTTCGAGCACACACACCTGTACAGGATAGGCATAAAAGAATCTACTGCCTGTGATTGTGGAGCAGAAAGACTGACCCCTTATCACATACTACAGTACTGCCCTAACCTTTCCCAGCAAAGACTGTGGATCTGGCCCAAGGGAGCCATATTGCAAGAGAAGCTATGGGAGACCGGTGGCGACCTTAAACGCACAGTCCTATTTGTGACCCAGACGGGACTCAATGTTTAGCATGACTCCTGTCGAGCGCAGAAGAAAAATCATATTTGGTGTAATATCGGTAAGCATCTACTTCTTCTTCTACTTCACGATCATCGGCTGTAAACGAGCGGAAAGTTCTGGTTGTTCGTCCACCTCTGAACACAAGTCTTGTTCAAGAACCTGAGTGTTGCATTCAAATCTGTTTCACAGATCTGCCTTTTTTATATGCAGACTGTTGGTTCCTTGCCTCTCAAGCAAATGCACTGACTTCGAAGAAAGCCCAGAATTAGTCGACCCACACTTACGACATGCTTTTGGGTAGGCAGTGGGTCTGTTCTTGTTTTTCCCCACATAAGGGCCGCGGAACTTTAACGCCAAGCTTCATCGGAATGTGCCAGGCGACACAAAAAACAAAGTACAATATGTTGTTTGTGTCCTGATTTCTTGTTTAATCCTGGAATGTAACCAAATCATGGATTAACGCAGCACATAGAGACTGGCTAGAGTTAGGTTTTTGTTTACGTCGGTGTCTGTGGCTCATTTGTTGCCAACGTGCTTCGTAATGTCATGGTGCCGGGTTCGATTCCAACTGTAGGCGATCTGGTCTTGCGTTAGTTTTGACGGTGGTAGCAAGAGCAGACTGTTTAGGTGCAAAGGCAAACTACTGAAGGTAAAATTGCCACAACCACCCATCTCCTTCTTCTTCTTCATTTTCTTTTTCTCTGCGTTCAAAGGCTGTTAACTCCGGTGAAATGTTCTGGTCCACTTCTGGAGTTTAGTTGTGTTTTAGAACTTGAGTCTCGTGTGGCTGCAGATCTGGATTACCTGTGATGCCTCTCAGGCAGATGTAATCAGACTTGAAAGGAAACACTCCTAATTAGTCAGCTGTTACGACACCATTAGTAGGGGGTAGTGTGTTTATTCTTTACAATCTGGTAATCTTAGTTTCAGCTTCATGGCAAACGGATCGCCATATAGTTGCTCCGCTCCTGTGCCAACGAAAAACACTTAAAATGTTTATCACAGTTCAAATTAAATCCGCAGCTCACAAATGGAGCAAAAATGCAACGGCCACCGTCTGGCATAAGCAAAAAATTTGCCACGGCTACAAAAAGTGGCCGTGCCTAGCGTCCATTATTACCTGAAGCATTATTTAAGGGTTAATAAACGGTCATATTCTTTACAATGGGGCCTCAGAACCGACATGGGGACATCAACTATCAAATAATGGGGCTCCCCGTGTGAGTTCTGAGGCCCTATTACAGGGAAAACCAGAATAGACCCACTGCCTGCCCAAAAGCATGCCGTAAGAGTCAACAAATTGGGAGCTTCCTTTGAAGTCGGAGTGCATCTGCCTGAGAGGCGAGGAACCAACAGTGTGCATACTAATTAGTCAGATCTGTCAAACGGATGCACACGCAACACTCAGGTTCTGGAACAGGTATGCAGTCCAAAAATTGACGAACAACCAGACCTTTCCGCTGGAGTTTACAGCCTGTGAACAAGAAGAAGAAATAATGGGACAGGTTTGTGACGTGCTGTCTATGCAAATATCTGGTCACACGGCCACACAGTAAATTGTTTACCCATTAGAACAGGGCACTATCGACTTTACAGTCACGGGTAGAGAAAACTTGAGATTGCCGAATCAGCCATGTGCACATGTGGATTGGCACCGGAGACAACAGATCACATCCCCAAAGACTGTCCCAAATACAACATAGGATTAGTTGCGTATCCTTTACAGGACGTTGCAGAACCAACCCCAACAGCCCCTGGCTGCTGTGTGGTTTTTCTAGGCAAATTTACGTCCAGTAGTTTGCCATTGCTTTAAATACAACATATCAAGGCAAAATATTTGGCCAACAGAAACACCGTTGGAAGCCAAAAGTTACGGCTCGCTGAGTGAATTACAAAAGACTGAAGTTCATACTAGAGACAACGGTGAAGTTATAGATAATCTATTTCGAGCGAAGGAAGGAAGGAATAAGACGAACGCGTACACAGCTAAGTAGTTTTAATTATAACTTACCCGTCTCGGTCATTGCGTTCCTCCTCCTCGGACAATGAGTCAAAGCGGTCTGTCATCCATTTTAGATCTATGCCATCACATTCTGCCACATCCTCATCAAATGACATTTTCACGACACCGCTACAAAGAAATAACACTCCACACTACAACTGAACAGTTTTGTGGAGCGGGGGAAACTCCAGCTAAAGTTTGTCAATATCCTCACTGGTAGCTAACGCATTAAGACATCGTTTGTGATGAAACGATTTTAACACACCAAAATAATAACAAAAACATTGTCAGTAAACATACTTGTAATTCTACGGGATTGTCGTATAATGTCGGTTGTTTAAATTAGAACATCACTCTTAATTCACCGCGCTGGCTAGTAGGAAACTAAATGTTACTTTCCCAGCTCTGCAATCCAACGACACTGGCTTGCAGCTTACGCTGGTGCGTGACTTATGTTGAAATGAGAACAGGTGTCGTTGTCAAACTGTGTCGGCAACTAGATTCTTTATTTTATGATTTCGTGTTTCTGAACTTCACGCTTGAGCTCTTGACTTAACTGACCCCCTCCTGGCGGCGTTTCTACCCAAGCACAAGACAACAAGTGCAGTAGCAGACACTGTACACACACTTTCGACCACTTCTCACACGACTTGGTCCCAAAGTGGCGCGTTTAGTTTGTACGGTGGTTCTCCCTCTTTGGGTTTCCCTTGTCCCACTTTCAACTGGCGGCGTGTCCGCCACGACACGAGCTCCGAAGCAGCGTTACCGGGGATAAAAATAGAACTGGGTGAGAAAGACTCTCATGCAGGAAATAAAGAAAATGTGAAAACAATTAAAATAAGAATAAAGCCTTTCAGAGCAGGTCGCCTTGTTTGTAGTCTTTATCACAGCAATACAGGCCATAGTACGCATTTATCACTTGGTAAAATCAGTGATTTTAACACTTTTATTGTTGCGAATGAAGAAGCGCATTGTGTTATCGTTGGTAATGGATAAATACAAATAGGAAACGCGATTTAAGCATCAAAAACAGTACTGCGGTGAATGGCATTGTTGCAGGAGCGGCAACTTAAGTAAACATTGGATGGAGGAGGGGGGGGGGGCAGTCCCTTTGAAAACTCTCTCTGGTGCTTGAAATGTTAATAATAACTGCTGGTTGACAAATAAATATAATAATATATTAGGCATAAACAAACAATTTAAACTAAAAATGTCTAAAAATTGAATTAATGAACACACCAGATGCAAAATATGGGTCTATATGCCCAACACGCTTGAAAGGTGTGGGAAAAGGTGCTTTACTTTATTGTTACTATTACCCTCGGCTTCCTTATCCCCATCAGACTGAATAGTTAGGGGGAGAGTCGCTCAGCCCCTCATCCGCCACCCAACTCCTAGGAGTTTTCTTTGGTGTCTTAGAGTGATAAAGCCATTTTGTGCACAACCTTGCGACTCTCCCCCTAACTATTCAGTCTGATGGGGATAAGGAAGCCGAGGGTAATAGTAACAATAAAGTAAAGCACCTTTTCCCACACCTTTCAAGCGTGTTGGGCATATAGACCCATATTTTGCATCTTGTGTGTTCATTAATTCAATTTGCGCAATTGTTATTTCAAGACTTTTTTTTACAGATACACAAAAGGGTTGGTGTGCTATACTGTGTGTGTTTTAATTGTGTCTTAAAACTATTTTTACAGTCTCGACGATAACAAAACTTAATCAAGCTATAACAAATATGGATTTACGAGCTTTGCAACCACAGGACCCCCCACCAAATTAAAAAAAAAAGAAGACAGAAGAAAAAACAGGAGTGAAAGAGAACAGACCTGTTTATGGAAGTTGTCAAAGCACGGTTGATTTAGAGTCATTCACTCACTTAATTGTTTTTTATTGGACCGCTTGATCTGTGCGTGTTCAATATTTGTTTGTCTTCTTCTCCTTTCTCTTTTTCTACCTTCTTCTTCTTCTTCTTCTTCTTCTTCTTCTTCTTCTTCTTCTTCTTCTTCTTCTTCTTCTTCTTCTTCTTCTTCTTCTTCTTCTTCTTCTCCTCCTCCTCCTCCTTTTACTTCTCCTCCTTAGCGTTCGCCAACTGTAAGTTCTGGTGGAAAGTTTCAGTTGTTCGTCCACTTTTTGACATAATCTGGTTCCAGAACTTGAGCTTAATGAGCACATTCATTTTACAGAGCTAGCTCTATCTTTTCTGTATGCAGACTGTTAGTTCCTCGTCCATAAGGCAGACGTACTCTGACTTCGAAGGAAACACCTTATTTAGTCGACTCTTACGATATGCTTGTTAAGGGACAGTGGATTTTCCCTCCCCCGGCCTATCTCCCACAGTGGTGTCAAAATCCGACACGGGGTTTTTTTTTTTTAAATACCTATAACTATGTCTCATCGGTTACTGCTCATGTTTTGGTCGAACCTGTATATACTGAAAGGACTGCTAAAACCAAGAACATTTTGGTTTTCTGGTACACGGTAATTGCACCTGAATGTCCTGTGTAAAACAACTGAAATATCGGATCTGTCTAAAAATCTCAAGGTATCCGGAGTCACGCCCAATGTCATTTTTTTAGGGAGGTCACAATGTGACCCGACATTGTACTTGAACCTTGTACTTTTGACTTTCGGGAATGAAGGTCAACTTCTCCAGTCTGATGGGGATGAAGAAGTCGTGGGTAATAGGAGGTGGGAAAATGGGATGTGGGAAAAGCGGAGATGGGTTGAGGGGGTCCGAAAGTATACCTAGGGTCTAGGACTTGGTAATAAATAACGCAATTAAGAGACCGTTTTAACGCCTTTGGGAGTAGCCTTGGTGATACAACTAAACGCTCACCTGTGGATCTAAAGGTTATAAGTTCAAATCCGAACAGAGCAGGACTTTTCCCAGAAATGATTTTGGCTGCAAGGTCGACCCAGCCTTAAGTGGGCACTAGGTAAAGTCCTGGAAAGTAAAGGCGGCCTGCGTGATACTGACCACATCATCCACAGAGTGACGATTGGTCTAAAATATAGGTCTAACACTATATGCTCAATGCGCATGAAGGCGTGAAAAAAGGGATCTTTTTGTTTCAACTTTAACTCCCCTTAGTGTTACGCCTATGCTTTCCATCAGTCAGCACTCCAGAGCAGTAGTTATTAAACTTCCTAATGTGGCGACCCTTTAATACAGTTCCTCGTGTTGTGGTGACCCCCAGCCATAAAATTATTTTCGTTGCCTTTTCATAACTTCAAGGAAAATGTGTTTTCCGATAGTCTTTGGCGACCCCTGTGAAAAGGGTCGTTCGACCCCCCACAGGGGTCACGATCCACAGGTTGATAGCCGCTTCTCTAGGGTGATGTGGTTAACATCACTCAGGCCGTTTTACCGTATCAGGCTTGAGTTATATGGTGCTAGACTACTGGGTACTCGGGGTTTGATGTTGTCAGGATCATGCCGGCCGTTTATGCTTCCCCGGACACTTTGTTCTACCTACTTCTTCAACATGGTCAAGTGCCGTATCGGTAATCGTAGGCTGTCATGTCACATGATCACCAGAGTCACGGAACAGTTCATTGTTTGTGTCTCACCACATCCAGATACTTATCTCTTTGCCGTCGTCGTTAGGCTCTCTTGTCGTCAGTCTTGTCAGTTGAGTTGAGTAAAGAATTGACATCACAGCACTCAGGGCATTCCCATACGCGCTCTGTCCCCATCCTCAGCAACCAGCACAGAGTTTCAATACTAATGGTGCCAGCTGTAGTCTAGTTCTGACTTTCCTTTCCTTTAAGGGTAATGTGTCAGCTGAACCCTCTGGTCACACTCTGGTGCATTTCTCTCCAGCCCATAATAATCTAGTTTCTTTTCTGACTTCGTTACTTATTCCCAAAGGGCTCTGGCCACATCTGCGTTGTGATGTATCAATACACAACCCAGCGTTGCAGATCCAGTCAGTCTGTCTGCCTGTTCATTCCCCACTACACCGGCATAGCCTGGAGAAAAGATCCAAAGTATGCTCACTACGCATGACCTTGCAAGTTAAGCTTGCCACTCTGCTCCATGCAATCCTGTCTTCGCTTTTTTCAGCATGCTTTCAGAGTCCGTTACACTTACGACATGTGTATGTATCTTGTTCTGTAGTAATCTATAGCCACTGGCAAGCTGCTATAACAGCCTCAACCTCCATTCTCATGCCGGATGTTGTGGCTTCATATACCAGGCTGTCCTGCACTGAAGATTTTCCATTGACTTTTTCCTATGAAACCCCAGGCACTTCACTTCACTTCACCATCTGTGTAGATAATCAGATCACCAGGACGAGAATGCCAGTTGTTACTAAGTTCTTGGGTCCATTCCTTCTCATAATTCGTTCCCAAAAATATATTGGCTCTCTAAGTATAATTGTTTTAAAAAGTTTAAGAATTTCATTTGTCTCGATGAGGACCGCTTGATTTGTTTTTCTATCTTTCCATGATATTCTTTGAATTTTTCTAAAAAACTACATCACTGCTGCAAGTAAATGTTTTTTTTTTTTAGCTTGTCTGCACATTGTCCATCTTTCACGTGCATATAATAACGTAAGTTCTACAAAACATTTTATTTGTCTTACTGCCACTGACATCTTATTTGTAAGAATCTTTTGCATCTTGCTACTTCGTCTCATTTTACTGTTGACCTAGAAACTATTTTTTTCCTCTCCTTAAAACGTATCTATCGCGATCTTCTTCTTCTTCTTCTTCTTCTTCTTCTTCTTCTTCTTCTTCTTCTTCTTCTTCTTCTTCTTCTCTTTCTTCTTCTTCTTCTTATTGTTGTTGTTGTTGTTGTGGTAATCTAGTCCTGCTCTCCCTTTCAGGGCCAGGTTTTGAACAGCATCGGGGGCTAGTCTGAGTGTGTACTACATAAATGCTGACATTTAAGGCCTCCGATGTACAGAATAAGTCTACGAGTCACTGCCATTGTGATACCCCGCTCTTGAACCTCCGATACGCATACACATACATATACACATACACATACACACATTTTGTGGGTCATACATTATAGGTGTTCTGTTTTTATATTTACATTTCATAACTAGCTTTTAATTCTGAGTATACTCTGAGCTGTCGTTGACAAAATAATCAAAACATATTTACA